CAAGGGGCTAATAAGGAAAATTGACTAGCCTGCATATCAGTTAGGGTCAATAGGACAGGAAGCCCCAAGAACACAAAATACACGAAATAAGAGGCAAAAGGTAAGTCGCAGGTAAACGCTTTGACAGGGCATACGAGTCTACTAAGTTACGAATGAAGCTGAAATTTCGAGTTCCGGGTGTATGCATATTTGAAGAAGAAGAAGAGTCGAGCACCGGAACACTTCGTTTATTATCCTGAGCTTTCAGACTCGTACAGGAGTCCATCGTCTGAGGTAGTGGCAGAAACAGGACAAGCGGCAGTTACAAGGCACGTAGGCCCAATCATCGACCGACTGGACGCATGCTCGAATCGCGCATGCACGAACATAAGCTGGCTGTGCGGCGAGGCGACGCATTGTCACAAGTGGCCGCCCACACCTACGAAATGGGTCACGAGTTTGACTTCGCAGCCACCAAAATAGTCGCCCACGCCGGAAACAAAACAGGCCGAGAATTGATTGAAGCCTGGGCCTCGGATGAGAACTCGGTCAGTCGATTTATCGATCTGGCGCCGACGTACAGAGCCCTTCGTAGTCACCTCCAGTCGTGCGACGTCGGTCAATGATTGGGCCTACGTGCCTTATAACTGCCGCTTGTCCTGTTTCTGCCACTACCTCAGACGATGGACTCCTGTACGAGTCTGAAAGCTCAGGATAATAAACGAAGTGTTCCGGTGCTCGACTCTTCTTCTTCTTCAAAAAAAAAATCTACTAAGTTAAAACGCGGACGTAATAAGATGATGCAGAGGAACTGTAAGTTTTTCCTCTGCACATATGTAGTAAATAATCAAAGAAAGTAAATATGAGTAAAGCCAAATGTAAATTTGGAGAGGAATGTGTTTACGTTTGAAGGTTGCTAGTACATCTAGGAATAAAGTCCTGCCCGTAGGTATCTTTTTTCCCTCGAATGCGTCGAATTCTAGGACAAAATTACCCCATTTATCGGAATCTGCCTTTGCGACCGCAAATGTAACCACTATCTAGATTTTGGTCGAGAGCTGACGGACTGCACTTCACATGCATTGTTCGAGCTTTCAGAAGTGGTTTAAATATTTTGTATGGCTTCATTTGGTTATGAAGGTTATTTCTGCCCTAGAAGAGAACATCCCAGTCTGCATCAACCGCTATATTATTTTTCAGATAATTGTTCACACTATCTACGAAGAACCAGGATTGTAGGATTAGTGGCTCGCATACTTTTAAAGAATGGACTTTGGCTGTCGCATTATGGGCTTCCCCAAATCCACACCTTTACGAACGCGGTACGTGAGCCAAGTATTAAATCTGTAGTCGAACAAAAGTTGGTAGGTAGCGTGGAAGTATTTTTCGTTGAGGCTCAGTAAGCATTTACGAGCAATGAAAGACCCTAAGCGCATGTTTACGTCATTCGGTGAGCCGTTTTGCGTAATTTCTTACATAGCCGTTGTAATCATTTGGAAACCTTCGCAGTCTCGGCACTTTAGATGAAATTTTCTGAGAGCACATGCCATTATAAACCTCATATTTGACTGCCAGTTTAATTAATATTGCTGTACGTACGGGTTTTCAGTAAAGTCTTTATGGTATGAACACCACCAGCCGAAAAGACTGTGCTTTTTACCGGAACATAAAACTTCTGAAAGAGCTCGATAAATGATAGGGACGAAATGCTTGCTGGAGTAAAGGAAGACGAATTCAAGATCATCGTCTTCAAAAAGATGCTTATTGCCTGTTCGGAAGTCGAAAAATTCTAATCATTTGTTGTTTTGTCCCTGGGAATAAGAAGGAGGTTAAATGAGTTTGGAAGTGTATGATCCGGCATATATCCAGAAAGGAGCAGTTTGTGGCAAGGCTGTTAATACAGACAACATCAGGAACAATGGAACGGCGATGTTTACGATTGACTAGTAGCAGTACTAGGACTGAAGTTTAAAGATCATAACAAACCAAGCGCGCCGTTTGAATTCGATTGGAATTTGTTAATCTTCGCGAGTTTTGGCATTTCGGTCACCCGCCTCCGCCCAGAGCTACGTCTCGTAGAAACAAACCGAGAAATCATTCTCGAATTGCGATTAACCCTTTTTTCGTAAATCACATTATCAGCCATACCTTCATCCATCATTAAGGCTCTCAGGAAACCGCTATCCGGAGCTTAACGAAGTATCTGGCACGGTTTAGTTCAGCCACCTACAAATACTGACTCCATCGTGCTTCCGAAGTCAATCTTCCGTCGTCGAAGTGCACGGAAACCAGCAGAACGCAAAGACTACTAACAAGCTGTCTGTGAAGGCATAGTCGTTCTTTGATTCCAGTTGATATTTGATACTGAAATTCCTTTGGAAACAAGCCATTGCTTTGTGTTCCGTAAACTAGTCACACACCAATTTAAGTCGTACCTTATAACTTAACGCAATTTCTAAAAGGTCTTGTTAGCACGGGGAATGCAAATGTCCAGAACCCTACTATGTGTGAACAAAGCCGGTCGCGTCAGGGGCCTCTCGGACAAGAACAGATGCTCCTAACCACTCGGCCATGCCCGGGCAGCCGAACGTCCAAGAAAATAATATATACTCAGAAAAGGGCTATCTATTATTCATTTGTAAACCATTTTCTGTTTCCTGGGATAAAAATTTACCAGAAATAATTAACTCGCTCCCAGCTGGGCGTGATGGGCCACCGACCACCAATCCCGAATAACGCAGCTTACTGCTGAAATCAGCCACAAAGCAGTTGGATACTGAAATGTCGACACGCTGTGATGGATGCCCAGAAATCACCACCAGAGTTTCGAAACTAGAAGTAGACGTCGATCTCCTCGCTGACATAATGGCATAATTACTCAAGTATGACAAACATAACCACCCAGAACACGATACATAAGGCATGAAAGACATCAGTGGGTCGGACCACAGGAATCTCAAGAAACCGGGAAAAGACTATGGACGTCACGTTCAGCGAAACAAGAACCAACGAACGAAGTCGTCGGACAAATCTCCTGACTCAATCGAAACAGAGAGCAACAAAAGTTTACAGACGGAGATGGAATTGATTTTCGCATTTACCCAAGTTTGGCAAATCTGGGTCATACAGAGTCCTTCTGCACAACTGACGAGCCGAACCCCTCGCAGCTGTGTCACGCAGCGGCGGAATATAGGCGAAACACGTGTCTGGGCTTTTAGCAAGTATCTAGGTCGTTAAGGACAGATTCAAACTGAGTCAGCCAATCCCGAGATGACAATCTTAACCAATCCTTGACTCCTTTTGCTAGACTCAGGCTAAAAGAAAATTGTTTTTGCACACCCATTGTCTGAAGACGAGCTGGGGAACCAGTCTCGAAAATTCACAATAAAATTTTGCTGTTTCCCAAAGAACTTCATCTTTCTAATTATATTTCTTGGGATGCCTGTTTTTCAATTTATATATAAATGTAAATATATATATATATATATATATATATATGGAGGGGTTTTTTCTGTGTTTTAGCTAATCTCCGAAAGTACTGCACCGATTGCACTGAAATTTGGGCACAACACAGCCAGCGCATGGGGCTGGGTTTTTGTCTGTTCAATGTTGTAATTATGCCGATGGTAAGCCTGTGATGAGTAAAAAACCGGATTTTTTCCGGCATAACAACACCATCTGCTGCGGTCACTTGACCTACATCCGCGCGGACACATGTGCCCCCCCCCCACGAGCCACTTGACCGACGTTCGCTCAAACGCACGTGCACCACCCGACAGTCGCCCCCCACCACCACCCACCCTGCAGACACTTGAACAGGCCCTCCACCCTCTCAGGGCCGATGCAACCTGGGCCAATAGGCAAAATACCCACCCTACAGCAAAAAACGCATGCGACTCTTGGGCTCCTCTTGAACTTGCCCCACATTACCCTCATTAATGTGGCTGTCGCCGCTTCCGCTGGGGTTCTCGGGCGTGATGACTGGATGCGGTTAAAATAGCCCCCTTACCCTCTCATGCACAACCCACATAAGGGGCCTGTCACCCAGTGTCAGCCCAGTGTCATGCAGGTCGGCTTGTGGAAGCCCGGTTGCGGTCCCTGCTACCGCGTTCTGCAGCTTCGGGCCTGCTTCGTTCACAACAGGATGAACACAGTC